TTGCGTTTCCCCCTGGAAGAGTTTGGAGAAAAAGCCTGATGCCGCAGTTAGCACCTCTCTCTCCCCATCATAACACCTCCCACCATGAACCACCGCCTTAATCGTCGTCTTCGCTTTCCTGGACGTTATCCTCCTGGTGAGAAATTTTGTCGCAATCTCTTCTTCCATTTCCTCGCTTACTCCTGCCATCTTTTGCTTCCGCTTCCTTTGACTGTCCCTGTACGCCTTCAGCTGCGCTTCGAATTTCACCAGGTCATCGTATTTGCCCCGTAGGCCCGTGTCCGCCATGAAATCTTGTCTCAACGCAGCTACACTGTCTTCCAGGTGCGCGATAGTTTTCCCAATCCTCTTCCTTTCCTCTCTTGCGTGAGCTTTAAGACTAGCCTGCAGCGCAGTGAAAGTGGACTGCAGCTTCTTCCCACCCTTTCCAGTCTGACTCTGTAACACCTTTTGAATCGTCTTCCGAACCCCCGGACTGTTTGCTTGCGCAGCATGCATTCTCCACATCCCTGGTCCGCACTCCGCTCCCGTCTTCGCCGCCAACACTATGGTGATTCCAAACCAGTGGTCAGTGACCCCCACCGGAGCCGCCATGTGATATGCGTCCGCCACCATCGGCAACAACGAGGCCGACACCAGCCCGCGATCAATCCGCGAGCTCGTCATCGTCGCCCTTGCCAAAAAGGTAAATTCTAACTTCGTCGGGTAGAGCGTTCTGAAGGCATCCTTCAGATCCCAGCTCGAAAAGATATCCAACACCCTTTGGTTCTCCGCATCCGATCATCCCTTTGACGTCTTATCCATGATTGGGTCTGCCACCATATTCAAATCACCTGTCATTAGTAGGTGACCCAAGGACGGGAGCGAGTCCGTAAACACTGACAGGCTCTCCCTGAAAAAAACTCCTCGTGTTGTTGCTTGTGCAGGGAAATATGCTGCTACCAGCATCCATGACATCTCCCTCCATCGAACGGTTACCGCTACTAGTCTACCTGACTCATGCGCCCGAATATCATTGAAGACCACCTCTTTATCAGCACAGCTACCCCCCCTGTCGTATCAGCCGGTGAGACCACCGCCCCCGCCTCCGACCCTGTTTGAGTCCAGAAATTGTGATCTTCTTGCGGCCTTGTGTCCGTAAGTACTACAAGCCCCCTTGATTTGTTAAGCCACTCCTGCAACCCCTCCCGCTTCTCCACGCTACCCAACCCGTTGTCATTGAGCGCGCCGATGGTAAGTTCATGTCTTTTATCCATTAAACCACTGGTTAAGACCCCACATCATCCACGGGTCTGAAAGCTTTGTTGTGATTCGCTTGCCTGATGTTAGCAGCATCCACCGGTTAAGGAAACGCGTTGCAAGGATGACACCACAGAGTACAGCTGATGCTAGAGAGATGCAAACTACTGCTCCGCCTATAACTACTTCATGAAGCTCTTGAAGCACCTTCTCACTCTTGATCTCCCACTCTGTCACTGCCTCCAGGCCCCTCTGACAGGTTATTCGAGACGCTCCCTCCTGAGTGTTGCGACTTAGAACGTGCCCGTGCTGGTGTGAGCAACGACTCTCCCCACTGCTGCTATTCTTTACTTCGCCGGCTTTGCAATATACTCCTTCTTGAAGGCGAGCATCTTTTGAGATGACATGCTGGCACGGGTTGCTGACCCTTCCTTCTTGAGCCCCCCTTTGTGCCGAGGAGATGCGATGTGCGCAGATGCTTGTTCGAAACGATTCCCTTGTGCCTTCTCGCACGATGCCTGAACACAGATCCACTCCTCCCGCGCACCACCGGTAGAGGTAAAGATAACTGCCGGATCCCTCCTGATACGTTTCAGGAGATCTGAAGCTATCAAGGATGCATCTGCGGGGAGGGAGAAGTAGACAACCGTCAGTATCAGGTAAGAGAGTAAGAGCGAGAGGCAAGGGGTACACCGTTGACGGGTAAGTTTCTTCACTGCTTATACCATTCATCTCGTGAACCTTCTTAACAGTCAGGTTCCAGTTGTTGAAGTTCTCCTGCCTCGGGGTGACATATCGATCGTGGTACCGAACAGATGCTGGCCACCGCAGAGGTCACAAGTCATCGACGGGAAATGCAACAGGTAACGCTTCCCGGTAGTAGGATCCTCCACAAATACCTCCACCGATATTCATCATCAGCATGCGGGACAACCAGACCACGGATGCGGTCAGTATCCAGTCCGGTCACTGGGTCAACTGTCCGATGAAAGCCGAAACCACTGGCAAATGCACTCCTGCCACGTTTGACCAGCTTCGACACCACCAACAGTCGACGAATCAGCTCTGCCGTTAACTCAGCCGGTACGCCTTTAACCACGATCTCCTTGGCTGTGGGGTTCAGCACCCGTTCACAAAGGAATCTCGCGTCTTCCGGATGTTGTCATGTGAGATCGATGAAGTCCCCATTCACACACTCGTGACTAATGACTTGATTACAGACAAAGTTTGCGTCCCGGACATTGTTGAAGGTGACTTGCAGCCGGCCGTAACGCGCGCCGGAGAAATACGTCGCCGTTAAGTCCTGGTACTTTGTAGTCCGCAGCACATCAGGCGACAAAAGCTCCTTCCAATCATCCAGCATCGCAGCTACCGTTACAGCAGCTCGCTTAACTTCAGCCTTCCTGAGAATCGGCACTAGCAAGGTCAGCTAGCAATGACACTGTTAAGCAAAACCGGCTCCAGGTGTTCATCGGAATCATCGCTCAGGTAGCCATCGTCCTCGGCAGTGTGTCGTCTCCGTCGTTGTCATTATCAACAACATCATCCTCCGCACGAGTTCCTTCCTCAGCGCCAGGACCTTGCAAGTGGTCAGCGGACTCCTCCTTCTCACCCGACCTTTTCCGGCTTGATCCAACATCCTGATCAGCATTGATCGGCGGGTCCAGGAGGGCTTCAAAGGGACCAAGCACTGTGGCTGACGCTGAGTTTGGAGACGACTTCTCGATGCCAACGGGATCCTTCACAGGTACCTCAGGTACTTCCGTCACTCCCTTAGCCTGCGCATTGTCAGCGTTTTTCTTGTCGTTCTTGCTGTTGCGTCCCTTCGCCATGGTGCAGTGATGAGAGAAGCTTGACAGCCAAGGAGTGGCTGAAAAACAAGCTGTTCTGAGCACATTCTGAGAAAAATCCAATAGTTTATATCTCTTGTGTTTGAAGGCAAAGCGTTGCAGGTCCAGACCAGATGCTATCAATGGCGCCTTGGTGAAAAGTTCCTTGCCTTGGTAGTTGTATTCCATAGGGAACCGAGAACCTTGATAATTGAAAACACTGATGTTGACGCGAGTAGCTGACAGAGCAGGATGTGTGTCGCGAGAGGATCCATGGAGATGCTCAGAACTCTGTTGATGATGCCGTGTATAAGCATGCGTTAAGGTTAAGTGTAGCATTGGCGATAGCCTGGAACTCAAAATACAGGTATTTAGGTTCCCGTAATGAACACTAAAAAGGCACCGTTGTAAAGAGCTTAAAGCCGTGCATCGCAATGGAGCTTCAAATCCAAAAACATGCAAGAAATTGTTACACATTGGCCGAGTTAAAGCTCTCCGCCATGGCCATGGAGTCGTTGTCATTGTCATTGTCATTGTTGCCAGCTTGCGTGTACAATGCAAGAGCCCAGCTTCCCAAGAGCCCAGCTGCATGTTCTGTGCTAGTCAGCTGTTCCCATGTCAGCAGCTGCAAACGGTAACGCGATGCGTGCGAGCTAGCTAGTGCGATGTTGGCAGCGAGGTTCGGGCTAGTCCCAAAGCGTAGGCTGACTCGGGCCGGTCCAGCGATGCATGATTTGGGAAATGTGACACGAGAAAGCGGCGAAACGCCCTTAGCACCAACGGCTTCTAAATGACACCAATTCAAATTGAAGAGAGCCAGGGATAAGAAAAAATATAATATTCTAGGAAAATGGACGCTGTTAGACTACTAGCGAGGGCCTCTGAACCAGAACATCTTTACAGTATCCTGGGTAATACGCTACAAGACGCACCACGTCATGCTTGCTGCCACTCTGGCAAAATTGGAATTTCTAAGGGCCAATGAGAATCCGCCACAACCAGTTTCTCTTCTCGTGTGCATGGTTCGCACGCGTTACGACGTGGAATGCACCTGACTCCATTGCTGATGGTGTTGGGTTGAAGTGTGGTTGTGGCTGGAAAGATTTGCATTTTTTTTTCGCGACCCTGAAGATCTTGATTGTCTCAAGACCACCCCGTTTTCTCAAACTTGAGGTTTCACTGTCAACACCTTGTGCCAGACCCTACGATTCGCACGGAACAAATACTGTATAGCGAGCTAACTCCCGAGAAAAAAAAAAGTTTTTATTTGTGCTGATGGTGAAAGGGAACGCTATGTGGACCGAGATCCAGGGTCTCTGCTGGTTCAAGTTCCCGGAGGAGCGCTTCGTGTCAGCGCCGCCTTTCCTTCCCTTCCCTCCCCTTGGGGGAATTCGAGGCGCAATAGGGCTGAGGCATGCGGTCGCCTCGCCTCGCGCACGAGCTGGTTCAAACCTCTCCCGCGACCACTCCGCAATAGCTCAAGGTTGCGCGAAAGCCCTTTTTTGCGCTCACAAAGTCGAGTTCACGCGCACCAGACTTCCTCATACAGTAAGGGTGCGCGCATGTGTGGTGCGGTTGGGGGAGGGAGAACGGGGGAGAGGGGGAACAGAGGATGGTGCGCTGGAGAGATCTTCGACACGTAGACGGAGGTTGGCAGTCGAAAAGGCAGGGGAACAGAGAACGAGCGCGTGGAAACGGAGTGCAAGGCAACAGCTGCCTCATTCCACACCACAGACACGTGCTCTTTGTTTGCTTCACTTCTTCAGGCAGTTCAAGAAAAGTTGGCAGTTGAAACGAAAAGTTCTCTCTTTCTTCCTTCGTATGTGTAGCGATACCTTCAAGTGGCAGCTGTTGAGATCCTGCCTTTGAGTTTTGACGCTTTCGCAAACGCTTTCAATTTCTACTCTATTCACATCTTGCCTAAGAATCTTTATGTCGATTAATTCGGACGGCGACGAGCGCGTCGCCTGGGCCGCGATGCCGGCGGAGCTGCTGCGCGACGTGCTCTCGCGTGTCGTCGCGCCGGGCATTGACTGGCCGCACCGTCGGACTCTCGTGGCGTGTGCCGGCGTGTGCAAGTCATGGCGGGAAATCACAAGGTACGTGCCCGTACGTACACTGGCGAAGGTCACAAACTCGGGCCTTTGAATCTGTTCCACCAGCTGAAGTGACAATTGGCAAAGTAACTGACGAGCGGTCCTTTCTTAACCTCCAAGCAACTTATTGGTTGCTTTCCCATCGGAAGGTCGTACAATCCTTTGTGACCGATGTATATCTGACGCGGAAAACGAAGAAGAAACAGAAACATAGACCGATGTACACAGAAACATATATATCTGCATCATACATCACTTTCACGGGCGTGAATTTAAGACCACGCGTTTCGTTCCACTCCCGCAGCCTCCTCGCCGCGCCGCGCGTCGCGTCAACTCTTTCTTTAAAATTCGACTCTGGTTGTCCTCCTGCCTCTTCTTTTCCCCACGTTCGTGCTCCCCCACCCTACGTTCTCTCGCCGACCCCGAACGTCTTCTTCCGCAAACCTCTGCGCTGCAGATCCGCCGAAGCGCAGACTGTCTGCGGAACCTCTGCTCTGCAGGCCCGCGGAAGCGCAGACTGTCGTCGGGAGCTCGCTTTGATGGCTGTGCGAATTCTCACCTCCCACTGCTACTTTCATCCTCCCTTCCCCTTCTTTCCAGAGACTTCATACTTTCCGCCCCCCCTACCTCCGCCGACCCCGCGCACATCTTCTTCCCCGCGGACCTGCGCGCGCCGGGCCCGCGCGAGCGCAGCGTGGAGTGCTTGATTCGGCGGAACCGCAAGACGGGCACGTTCTCGCTCTTCCTGGGGGCGTCGCCAAGCGCCGCGGCGGAGGCGGAGGGGGAGTCCGCGGCGGGGAAATTCCTCATGGCGGCGCGCAAGTTCGGATGGCGGCCTTCCAGGTATGCCGAACATTGCGCGCGTGCCGTGGGAGCGCGTGTGACGGGAGCACGTGTGACGGGAGCGCGTGTGACGGGAGCGCGTGTGACGGGAGCGCGTGTGTGACTGATACATGAGATTTATGCCTGCCTCGCATCTGTCTCGGCCGGCCCCCTGACTCCTCGCCTGCTCTGCCCCTCTGCACTCCTCTGCTCCCCTCTGCCCGCTTCTCTGTGCCTCCTCTCTCCTCCTTGCGCCCCACTCCCCGCAGCACGGAGTACGTCATCTCCCTCGACCCGCGCGACTTCTCTCGTCCCGACCACCCCACCGCCGCTGACTCCCCCCACTCCTCCTACACCCCGCACTCTCGCACCTCAAGCGCCACCCACGCCTCGCGTTTTTCCTGTCTCGGCAGCACCAACAGCGCGGCAGCAAGCAGCAGTGCTACCGACGGCAGCAGCGGCAGCGCAGGCAGCGGGGTGGCAGCGGGCAGCGGGGGCGCAGCGGGCAGCGGAGTGGCAGCGGGCAGCGCGTACCTGGGGCGGGTGCGCGCCAACTTCCTCGGCACGCGCTTCACCATCTTCGACGCGCGCCAGCAGGGCCCGCCGCCCCCCGCGCGGCCCCCCGCAGGCGTCGCCGCGCCCAGCAGCAGCAGCAAGGTGCACCCCAGCGTCGGCACGCCTGCGCCAGCGCCTGCCCTTTCCAAGGGGAAGGGCGGCGGAGGAAGAGGCGCGCGGGGCGGGCGGGATGAGGGCGCGGGGAGCAGTGAGGCTGCGGGGTCGTTGGCAGGAGCTGGGATTGGGAGAGGCTGTGAAGTCAGCAGTGGCAGCTGTGGTTGCTGCTGCGCCTGCGCTTCCCGTGGCTTTGCTTCTTCTGCTTGCCCTGCCTGTCCGTCCGCTCTGCCCCTTCACCCCCCCTCCCCACACGCCACCCCATGCGCCCGTGGCGACTGTGCGTGTAGCCCCACGTCCGTCCTCTCGCCCCCTTCCTCCGCCCAACCACTGCCCGCCAGCACGTCTGATAGTGCCGTGCCCCTTCCCCCCCTCGCTCTTCCGCCTTCTGCGCTCGCGGCATCCGCCGACACGCCACCACACTCTATTCCCCTTGCGCCCACTGCGCCCTCTGCGCCCGTTCCGCCCCCTGCGCCCCCTGCGCCTCTGCCCGTGGCGACGGTGTCGTATGCCCTCAACGTGCTGGGCACTCGTGGCCCTCGCCGCATCCAGGCCGTGCTGCACTGCGCGCCAAGCAGTGGGGGCGGACACGTGCCTGGCAGTGGGGGGGATGCGGAGCAGCGGGGGAGGGAAGAAGAGACGGGGGAAAAGAGTATGAGATGTGGGCGTGAGGGGTGGGGCAGAAGGGAAGAGTGTGTGTGTGATGAGGGGGTATGCGTATGCAGTGGACGGGTATGTGCGTGTGATGCCAGCCCGAGACATGATGTGGCCGGCAACGCTGGAAGGGATGTCAGGGAGCACAGCGACATGTCATGCTGCCACGTGTCACATCACCATTCACCCTGTCGGGAGAGACATGAAGGCGAGGGACACGGGGAGGAGGCATGGGAGCCAATGGTGCTGAAGAATAAGCCGCCCAGATGGCATGAGCAGCTGCAGGTGAGATGGTGGTGATGGCATGAGCAGTTCCAGGTGAATGGAGATGCATTCATGATGGCACGAAACACATTTCTCTCCCCTGCTTTCCCCTTTTTCTCAGCACCTTCACACAATTCCCTCATGTGTCCCCCTACCCCTCCGAACCGTCTCTTCTCCTCCCCAACCGTCTCCTCCCCTCCCCCACCAGTGCTGGTGTCTCAACTTCAGGGGGCGGGTGACAGTGGCGTCTGTCAAGAACTTCCAGCTCATTCACGCCACGCCGCACCAGCCCCACCCACCCTCACTGCACCAGCCCCACCCACCCTCACTGCACCAGCCCCACCCACCCTCGCCACTGCTTCCACCATGTGCCGCCCACTGCTCCTCCCTGTCGTCCTCGTCACCTTCCCTGACGGTGCCGAAACACCACGGCGGGTCGTCGGAACCTGTAGGTGCTGGTGCCTCTGGCAGCGGCATTAGGAATGGCGGTGGGGCGAGCAGTAGCAGTGGCAGCAGCAGCAGCAGCAGCAGCAGCAGCAGCAGCGGCGGCGACAGCGGTGGCAGTGGCAGCAGCAATGGTAGCAGCAACGCCAACAGCACTATTAGCAGCAGGGGGGGTGAGGCAAGCAGCAGCAGTGGGGGAGGCAGGGCGCATGAGCTGGGGGCAACAGGCACGTGTGGGGCGGTGAGGGGCGGGAGGGACGTGGACCAGCCGGTATTACTGCAGTTTGGCAAGGTGGGCAGGGATGCCTTCACCATGGACTATCGCTACCCGCTCTCCGCCTTCCAGGTGAGCAGAACCTGAATAACAATATCCAGGCGACTCTTGAGTCAGCTCAGATGTCACCTAGGGGAGGGAGGACGTGCACCAGCCGGTGCTGCTGCGGTTTGGCAAGGTGGGCAGGGATGCCTTCACCATGGATTATCGCTATCCGCTCTCCGCCTTCCAGGTGAGCAGCAAATGGCTTCTCAGGCTGGTGAGACAGGAGTGATGCTCGGTCGATTTAAGCAGTTGTTGCTTGCACCATGCCACTTACCTCTTGCACCATGCCACTTACCTCTTGCACCATGCCACTTACCTCTTGCACCATGCCCCTAACCTCCTACACCATGCCGCTTACCTCTTGTGCTCATGTCTGTCGCCGTGCAGGCCTTTGCTATCTGCCTCAGCAGCTTCGACACCAAGGTGGCGTGCGAGTGAACATGCCCTAGCCGCACGCTTGGGAAGCGAGTTGTCGGAGAGAACACTGGCAGTGCCCTGTAGATCAATGTGTGCTACGAGGTTTGGTGGTGTAGGAGCATGAAAGCTTTTCCATGCTACTGGTAATTATCATTGATTGCACACATTGCGATTGCACACATTGCGATTACCCTTTACCTAGCCTAAGGGGTGTGTCAGCTTAGACATACACTTATGCATGTGTATATTACAGGCTAAAGTGGGTTTCTCTGTAGAGGGTGCATGTGGTGCATATCTCACTTGCATGCCCTCATTCCATAAGTTTCTTTTGTTGACACTCGGGCGGGCGGGCTGAACCCGAACCTCGTTGCCAGCATTGCATAATCCAGCTCGCAATATCGTGATTCTGCGCGCATGCATCGTTTCTCTATAAAATATTTACTAGTGCCTTTGCTCAGTGCTGACATTGTCATTCTTAGCACTTGGAGTGAAATCCTAGCTGGGCTAGCACTGGTAATAGCTTTATAACATTCGATCATGCTTTTGCTCATGTTGTTCAATTGCTTCGATAGTGAAATTGTTCCTTCACTGAGTTACGGGTGCTTTGGAACGAGATAGCGAGGATTGCAGTAGGTATCAAACGAGTACAAAGTGAGCGAAGGCAATGAGCAAACACTTATGTGCGAACATGCAAATGGATACGCGGTGCCTTCGAGCTAGCTATTTGTCAAACTGTAAGTTTGTGTTCTCTCTAGGCTATAGTGAATTAGCCTACATGGGGTACAACACTTAAGGGTTAGTACTTGTACCCAACTCATTCATGGTTCATTCATTCCTACACAGTTGATTCTGACACTATTGCGAGGCTGGCATCGAGGTTCGGGCTAGTCCTGAAGCGTAGGCCGACTCGGCCAGGCCAGCGGTGCATGGTTTGGTAAAACAGTACGCGTGAAGTTGGCGAATGCTCCGTTAGCAGTAATGGGCGAAGAACGGCTGCCGCTGTACGCGGTGTTGAAAGACGCGGTAAGGAATGTCGAAATTTTTTCTACCCCCCCCCCCCCCCTTCAAGAAGCCCCCTTCGCTACGCGAGTGTGTGTATATCGCGGAAACCCCGGCTCCTCAGGTACACTTGCAGGGTAGGGTGGTTTTCGATGTTGGCCAGGGGAACCCAGCTATCTTCAGTTGGCGTGCGGTCCTTCCAGCAAACGAGGAGCTCAATCCTCCTGGTGCCTGTGGGTGTGGGGTGACGAATCCGATGGCTCAAAATTTTCTCTGGCTCAACAATCGGCTCCGATGCAGGGCGAGTCATGGATGGCGGGCAGTGGAGAGGCAGTCGGCTCGTGGTTGGGATGTACAGGCGAGGCAGGCTGACGTGGAATCATGGGCTGATGTACCAGTCCGTCGACAACAGTAAATGGGTGGTGACTAGGGTGATCATGTAGCTGATTTGGAACGGTCCACAGTAGCGTGGTTGAAGTTTCGGTACGACGGACATTCTTAAGCTCTGTGTGTCGAGCAGTACGTAGTCCGTCCGCGCGCGTTACACTCTGTCCGCCCGTGTGCATTACACCCTGCCCGCCCGCGCCCGTTGCGCTCTGCCCGTCGCGCACGTTGCGCCCTACCCGTTGCGCTCGTTGCGCCCTGCCCGTCAGCGCCTGTTGCGCCCTGCCTGTTGCGCCCGCTGCGCCCTGCCCGTCCGGTCGCGCTGCGCCTGCCCTTTCCGCCGCCCGTGCCCGTCCCGTCGCGTCCCTCTCTTCTCGTCCCGTGCCGCACTGCTTGCCGCGCCCTATTCCGGCTTTCTAGGCGATTTTCCCCTGTCAATTCTCCACGCTTCCGCCATGGCGACGCCTAGAGTCCTCCGCTTTGACGCTGAGGGTAGACCGCTCGAGTTCTCTGTCTGGCTCCTGCGTGCGCAGCGTCTCCTAGAGAGTCAGGTTCATGCAGACGAGTCCTTGTGGGCGCACGCTTCAGGTGACCTCCGTGCGCCCCCCGATCCTGATTCCTTAGGCACTGACGCCACCACTGCGGACAGGGATCGTACTGCACGTCAGCGTGCGGCCATGATAGCCTGGAAGTCGCACGACGCTGCGGCATGAATCGCCCTCAGCAGCCTCCTCCCTGAGTTTGAGGAGATCCACTTCGCCCAGGTTCGTACGGCCAGTGAGTTCCTGACTGCGATCAAGGCCCGCTACGCTACTCCCACCGCTGTCTCTCTTGGTCGCCTGTTCCTCCCCTTCCTGTTTCTTGACCTCGCCTCGTTTGAGCTCTCTGCTGACTTGATCGCTCACCTGCGTTCACTGGATTCTAGCTACCGCGCTGCCTGCACTGACGCACAGCTTGCACTTCTCCCCCCCCCCCCCCACCATGGCGATTACAATCTATTTTATCGCCACTAGCATCCCTGACCACCTTGCCTCAGTTCGTGATGCGCTTCTTATGAAACACCCTAGCGAGCTCACTATCGGCGTCCTTGAGTCTGCCCTCAAGGACGTTGAAAGCAACCTCCGCTCGGTAGCCTCCGCCTCTGGTGCTGTGCCCCTGCCACTGTTCCACGGGTGCACTGTCCCTCAGCTGCCCACCTTTACTGCCTCCCTCGCCACTGCCGCTACTGACATGACCGCAGCTGCTGTTACGACTTCTACGCGGTCTAGAGCTCGGAGTGGCAGGAGGGGCGGCTAGGGTGCGGGCGGCAACGGAGGCGGCGGAGGTGGCGTTGCGGGCAGCGGTGGTGGGAGTGCGGGAGTTGGTGGAGAGCCTGGTGCCGCGTCTAGTGACTCCCCTACTGCGGCTGGTGGAGGTGCCGCTCGGGTTAGTCGAGCACCTGCGAGACTGCCAGCGGTAGGTGCTGGAGTGGCGGCTTGGTACCTGGCTCAGCGACAGCAGCAGCAGCACCAGCCACTCCTCTTGCAGCGGCCACAGCAGCAGCAGGGGCAGCAGCACGGGCAGCAGCAGGGGTCAAGACCGCGTCATCTCTCGCGTGGTGACGCGCACCCTCCCTGCCCCTATATTGTCCAGAAAGGTACTCGCAGCGACTTCCGGTGTGACCGCTGCCACCCACCAGGTCAATGCTTTGCTCAACTCACTGACACTCTTCACGTGGCCTACGGCGTCGACGACCCTACCCCTGATTGGCTTCCTTTTGTTCACTCACACGGTGCCGCTCTGTGGGCCATGTCTGCTTCTCAGTTATTTGATCTCTTAGGAACTCCTCATGCTATGTATGCTGTTGTTGACTCTAGTGCTTCTTACTCTGTTTACTCTCGTGTTTGTAGCTTAGGTGCTAGTGTTGATCCTATGCCAGTTGCTAGTGTAGGTACTTGCATAGGTACTAGTCCAGGTGCTGCTCCGGAGGACGCTTCGCTGTCTTTCACCCTTGACTCTGGGGCTTCGCACTGTTTCTTCCGTGATCACACGACTCTTACTCCGCTTCCTGCGCCGGTCTCAGTAGCACTGGCTGATCCCACTTCGGGACCAGTCACTGCTCGCTCCACTACTACGCTTTCGTGCCCGGCTGTTCCCTCGGGTTTCCTGACTGGCTTTCACGTCCCCTCGTTCTCCAGGAAGTTGGTGGGTGTGAGGCCGCTCGTGGACAGTCACGTGGGTGTTTGGATTGAGCCTTCTGGGGACTCGGCGACCTGTGTAGACGGTGACACGTATGCGCCCGTAGCCACCTTTCCCCCTGAGCCGGGCTCTGGTTTCTACACACTTCACACTGGCCCCCGAGAAAGGCAGCAGCAGCAGCTACTGCCTCCGACCCGTGTCACTGCCCTCCGTCAGGTCCCCGTATCTCACCATCTTCCGCCTCCCACCAGGTAGTTGTGTCTGGTCAGGTTCCAGCGTCTAGTCCGGTTGCTGCATCTTGTTCGTGTCGGACGCTTGCCCACCCCACTGTTCTATACCACCACCGCCCTGATCACCCAACCATTCCTCGCTTGCGCACTATGTCTAGTCAGCGTCTCGTCTTAGGCCTCCCGCGAGTCTTGCCGTCGCTGCCGCCTTCGCTTGCACCACCTTGCGCCCCTGCGTCGAGGGTCGGCTGCGCGCCACCCCTCACTCCTCCTCCCTTCGTTTGGCCATTGAGCCCTTCGAGACTCTCCCCTTGGACGTCTGGGGCCCTGGCTTGCGCCCTCGTCCTGAGCGAGTGAGTTTCTTTCTGGTGATCGTTGACAAATACTCTCGCTAAACCAAAGTGTTTCCCCTCGCGAAGAAGTCCAAGGTAACTTCTACGCTGATCCGGTGGTTACCTACCACTGCGGACACTTGTGGTCGTCGTGTCAGCTGTCTTCACTCAGACCGTGGGGGTGAATTTTGCTCCGGCGTTCTCGCTGGATTCCGTCACGAGTAGGGCATCCGCCATTCCTGGATGCTTCTAGAGTCCCCACAGCAGAATGGGGTTGCTCAACGCCGCATAGGCTTGGTCATGGATATCGCACGCACCTCCATGATTCACGCCCATGCGCCCCATTTTCTGTGGCCCTACGCGGTTCGGTATGCCGCTCACCATCTGAACCTCTAGCCACGTGTCTCCCGGCCAGAGGCTTCACCGACCAGTCTTTGGACCGGATCCCCTGGTGATGCGTTTCCGTGTCTGGGGCTGCTTGGCATGTGTTCGCGACACCTCCGCGGACAAGATCTCACCTCGCACCATTCCCTGTGTCTTCCTTGGTTTCCTCGAGGACTCCTCTGACTTCACCTTTTACCACCCTCCCCTTCACCGGTTCTTTGACTCTCGTGACGTCCGTTTTGACGAGTCAATCCCCTACTACACCCGGTATCCCTGTCGAGGTCTCCCGGTTCCTCCTTGTCAAGCTATATTTGTTATAGCTTATTTGTGTTAGTCTAGGTGTACTTCATGTTTTCCTAGGGTTAGGGTTATGCTTGCTATATCTTGCTTGTTTTCACTTTCCTTAGTCAACACTTATACCTTTGTAACTTGACATGGTATAGAGCGATAAAAAGATCCCATGGGCCCACCGACCCGTAACGTGCCCTAGCTCGAAGCGCCCTAGCCCGAAGCGCCC